AAACAACATTGTTTCTTATTTGTCAAAAAATCCAAGATTAGTAAATGTAAGACAATCACCAAGTACAGGAGGTCCCCAACTTGTGACATGATTGGTTCTGGAGGAAGCGTTGCAAGTTGGGAGCATCATAACTAAAATCCGCATTTATGGTAGTTGCCATCGTAAATGAGGGCCAGGGATGTAAGTCAGGGGTTTGCAGTCCCTTCCGCACTTACAACAATGGTTGTAAATATGGGGGGTCGGAACTCGGGTGGTCGCATCTTGGGGGCCTCCTATAGTAAGAGAGCCTGGTCTACACTAGGGAGGTTTTTTAAAAATAACTCCCCTTATTTCAAAGTAAGCGGCACATCCCCACTACCAAATCTGTTATTTCATCATAATTCCTGCTTTCCACACGGAAGAATGCTTATTTTGAAATAGTTATTTTGAAAAAGCAGCAGTGGAGTATCCACACTACCGCTATTTCAGAAAAACTACTCTCCAGAGTCGAAGTAATTACCCCTCCTTTCCCTGCCCTGCTTCCTGGGGCTCTAAGTCAAGGTAGCGTATCCACATTAAGGGACCTTACCTCGGACTAATTTGAGGCTTCCCTGTAGTGTGCACATGTTATTTTGAAAGAACGATTTCAATAATTATTTCGAAATTATTTCAAAATAATTTCCTAGTGTAAACATCCCCAGAGAGAGAAGATTTTGTTTAGTTATACTGATTGTTATGCTGTATAATTCAAAACCAAAAACACTATCACTATTCTGTACATCCCAACATTAAGTCAGCAAAGCCTTAAGAGACAATGGCCCCAACACTCTGATTCCAAATCCCGAAATATCTTTCGCCCAGGCTTGAATTGGTCTGAAGACTTTAAAGGGCTCACATAGTTTACTTTAATATTTTCCTTTATTACTGGAGTGCATTGTGCTATGAAAGGAATCATAGAATCATAGAATAATAGGACTGGAAGGGACCTCGAGAGGTCATCGAGTCCAGCCCCCCGCCCTCAAGGCAGGATCAAGCTCCGTCTACACCATCCCTGACAGATGTCTATCTAACCTGTTCTTAAATATCTCCAGAGAGGGAGATTCCACCACCTCCCTTGGCAATTTATTCCAATATTTGACCACCCTGACAGTTAGGAATTTTTCCCTAATGTCCAATCTAAACCTCCCCTGCTGCACTTTAAGCCCATTACTCCTTGTCCCGTCCTCAGAAACCAAGAGGAACAAATTTTCGCCTTCCTCCTTGTGACACCCTTTTAGATATTTGAAACCCGCTATCATGTCCCCCCTTAATCTTCTTTTTTCCAAACTAAACAAGCCCAGTTCATGAAGCCTGGCTTCATAGGTCATGTTCTCTAAACCTTTAATCATTCTTGTCGCTCTTCTCTGTACCCTTTCCAATTTCTCCACATCTTTCTTGAAATTGGCGCCCAGAACTGGACACAGTACTCCAGCTGAGGCCTAACTAGTGCAGAGTAGAGCGGCAGAATGACTTCACGAGTTTTGCTTACAACACGCCTGTTGATACAACCTAGAATCATATTTGCTTTTTTTGCAACAGCGTCACACTGTTGACTCATATTCAACTTGTGGTCCACTATGACCCCTAGATCCCTTTCCGCCATGCTCCTTCCTAGACAGTCGCTTCCCATCTTGTATGTATGGAACTGATTGTTCCTTCCTAAGTGGAGCACTTTGCATTTCTCTTTATTAAACCTCATCCTGTTTACCTCTGACCATTTCTCTAACTTGCTAAGGTCATTTTGAATTATGTCCCTATCCTCCAAAGAAGTCGCAACCCCACCCAGTTTGGTATCATCTGCAAACTTAATAAGCGTACTCTCTATCCCAATATCTACGTCATTGATGAAGATATTGAACAGTACGGGTCCCAAAACAGACCCTTGAGGAACTCCACTTGTTATCCCTTTCCAGCAGGATTTAGAACCGTTAACAACAACTCTCTGACTACGGTTATCCAGCCAATTATGCACCCACCTTATCGTGGCCCTATCTAAGTTATATTTGCCTAGTTTATCAATAAGAATATCATGCGAGACCGTATCAAATGCCTTACTAAAGTCTAGGTATATGCCATCCCCCGCTTCTCCTTTATCCACAAGGCTCGTTATCTTATCAAAGAAAGCTATCAGATTAGTTTGGCATGACTTGTTCTTCACAAACCCATGCTGGCTATTCCCTATCACTTTATTACCTTCCAAGTGTTTGCATATGATTTCCTTAATTACCTGCTCCATTATCTTCCCTGGGACAGACGTTAAACTGACCGGTCTGTAGTTTCCTGGGTTGTTCTTATTCCCCTTTTTATAGATGGGCACAATATTTGCCCTTTCCAGTCTTCTGGAATCTCCCCTGTCTGCCATGATCTTTCAAAGATCATAGCTAAAGGCTCAGATACCTCCTCTATCAGCTCCTTGAGTATCCTGGGATGCATTTCATCAGGACCTGGTGACTTGCTGACATCTAACTTTCCTAAGTGATTTTTAACTTGTTCTTTGTGTATCCTATCTTCTAAACTTACCCTCTCTCTGCTTGTATTCAGAAGTAACCTGACTTAGAATACTGACACTTAAGTCACTGTTAAATTTTATCAAGAGTCAGAAGTTAGCAATGAGACCTATTAGATCATCCGGTCCATCTCTGTGCCAATCCAAGGTTGTTTCCTACAGTATGTTTTCTAGTGTTCAGTCCAGTCTATTTTTAACATTTCAAGCAATGGAACTTCCATCACGTCACACAGAAGGCCAATCCAAATTAGTTTTAACAACCCTGCCCATGAAAAGTAACCCATATAAAAAAAACCTTAGGTAACTATTTTTATGGATCAGATTACATCACTACTGTAGGTGTTTAAAAAGGACAGCAAAACTACAAAGTAACACCATCTTCTTACTTTTGGCTTTTAAATATTATTCACACTAATTTTTAAGACATTCCTTAAAATGCTACAGTAAATAAACCACTGCACAAGCCTGCTAAGCTATAATAGCAGAGAACAGGTATTTATATACCACAAGTTCCACGTAACTTTAAAATACAGCCCGGGAAATACAGCTGTAAAATGGAGTTCTTATAGCCAGAAATTTAAAAGGGAAGCACTGTCAAGGCAAGTAGGGCAGCTATTAACCTTAAAATATCAAAAAGATTATAGTTTAGAGTAACACGTCAATTCAGAATGAAGCAATTGAACATACAGTAGAAACTTTCTTAAAGCAACACCCAATTGATGATGATGTGGTCTGATTATGCAAAATACACAGAGCTTTAGACCAAATGTAAATGGAGATTGACAGCATGCATTAGAAATATATGCTATTTTTGTTGACATTTATTCCATCACCCTTTGGACACTTTTCATTTTAAATTAAAATGCCATTTGAAAACCAAAAGGACATTGTAGAGCAGTTAAGCCAATCACCGTACAGAACAAATTGACCTTACTTGCTCAACATGAAAATATAGCAAATTTACTTTATTACGAAACACAACTTTTAAGAGAAATTTAATCTGATCTGCAGCCACACAACTTTAAGCTGTGATCTTGTCATATTTAAATTACCTAAAAGCTGGATTGGGCCAGCCTCATAGCTAATCCTCCAAGCAAATCTCAGGTGCTTAGTTCAAGTGAGACTATTGATTTTTGGTTCATATTGAACTAAAGCTCTATTATGATACTAAGGTATGTACAGGGAACTACCATTGATGACATATGGGGAAAAATACCCCAAGACTCTAATGATAGCACATTCTAAGGGCCTTAGTTTTTTTCTTTAACAAAAGAGCCAATGGCACAGGTACCCTTCTCCCCACAGGGAAATTTGTTTTTGTTTTTAAACTCAGTGGGTGTTTTGCCTATTTAGAACTCTCTTGTAGTTTCAGTTGGAAAGTTACTTCCTGCACTAAATTGTCATGCAACTGCATTTCACTAGACCTCGATGCTTGTATGTTTGTTAAAGTAATTTGGGATTGTACTAGATGAGAAGTTCTATTAAAATGTAAGTCACTTTTAGTAATAACACAAATCTTGGTGTTAGTCTTTAAAAATAAATTTCCCCTATCATAAATCTGTTTAGTGGCCTTAAGGTCAACAACAAAAGTGAGCAAAAATCTTGATGTCTGACTACTCTTAGGTGTTCACAACTATAACCTTGAGAATGAAACTGGAAGATTAGTGCTTAGCACTGACCAGCAATGAACTAAATCAGGGTTTTATAGCATATTCTTCTAGTGAGCAATATAACAATGTAAAACCTATGTATATTAAAAGCATTTTAAGAAAGAGCTGCTCCTTTAGTCAACATTTTTAAAACACTTTCTTGGGAAAAGTTAAAACCCATTTATTTTAAAACGTTTCACGTGTAAATATACTGCTCTTATATATTAAGCAGATCTCATTCATGAGATTCAGAACGAGCCTGTTTAATCTTTACTCTGGAGAAAGTACTGCATCAGAAGAACCTTGAAATTCAAAAGGGGAACTGACAATTACACAAGTGTGTGGCATAGACAAAGGAAAGATTACTTGAGAAAAAGAGCTGTGATGATAAAGCTTACTAACTAGTCATATTAGACACTGGGCTAGTTAAATAAGTACCCAAGATTTATTTTTGTCAAGACAGAAGAGGAAAAACACTGACAAGTAAGTAGGTATGTTTTATCTATTTGAAGAAAATTCCAGAAATTGGGAATTTGTTTTTAAACATGCAACATGTAAAAATGTATTCAACATAAAGCAAGCCACTTATTACACAAAAGAATGCCTTGTGCTTCCATTTCTTAGTGTCCTTGATGAATAGACACACACAGTGCTCATGTGCGCTGATATCTTAATCTTTTTATCGAGCAAGAAAAATGAGGCCTACATGAGTTGACCAGCATGCAATGTGCAAGAGATACCATAGTAGTTTAACACAAATTTTGTATCCTGCCCAAGCATATAATCCTAATTATTTACTGCAGGAAACAGATGCATTCTAAATTTACCTTTCAGTGAATCGTTTTCAGCCCTCATTATGTCAATCAGAGAGTTCTCCAGTGAATGCATGTCAAAAGTTCTTGCGCGGTCCTACAAATAAACACAATGACAGTTTAGATAACAAAATGCTATCCAAGACTACCTTAAATATGCAGAAACTTCAACTCCATCTAATGTCATTAGATCAGAATTAAACATATACAAGGAAATGATATTTAAAGTAGAATTACAGGAGTCTTGTGAATTTACTGTTGCTCAACAAGTCCCATCAGAAGATTCAGTTATGCATTAACTACACCGTGAAGAAAATACCTTAAAACAAGTGAAACTACAGTTTTACTCCTAAGAAAATCTCATTGTAGTAAGTGGTTTTTAAAATATTTAATTAAAATGAAACTGCCTGTATTAAAGCTACCTGCAGAAGAAGATCTCTTCAAAAAAAAAAAAAAAAAAAAAAAAAACCCTCATAACATTAAGCATTTATTTTACAAGCCATGCAAATCCCATCATAACTGATACTATTAAGAGACCAAGAAAATTTGGGTTGCTTTCTGTTTTAAGAAAAAAAGATAATGCAAGATAGGAAGGTTTAGGCATATTTTAGAACTGGCTGGAAAATGGAAAAACAAATGCAACACAAAAGTTTGTTTTCCTTGTTCAACAATTTAGTTTCCATTGAAGTTTTCTGACCAGCTGAAGTCTGGAGCTTGAACTATCCCAAAACTTATTTGCCAAGCATAATACTATCTACCCTCAAATAAATCCTATTTGAAATAATGAAATACATTGCAATTTAAAGGTAGGAAAGCATCCTTGTTAAGGAAAGCACTTAGTTTGAACTATGTCATTACAACATAATGTATGTTAACACTATATTACACAGTCATCAGTAATTTCAAGATCTGCACAGTTAAAAATATAGTTCACAAAATTTCATTTATGAAATTACTGGTGCCAAACAGCCTAGTGTTTGGTAAAAAGTTTACATTTTGTACTAAGAAATTTCGCCCTTTATATCCTGTACTTTGCAATTTTAAACAAATACTTTTTTTAAAGACTAGACAAACTCAAGAGACAAGTTGACTAGTATACATTACCATCCCATCATCTCAATCCATTTACCAAGGATTTCGCCTTTATGATAGCCAGCATCAAACCCCTTACCATATTTCATAAGTGACCCATTCTTGACTAAAGCAGACAATGCTCGACTAAAAAGAAAATGAAAATTCATTTGTCTGTCAAAGCCATCTATTTTGTTATCCAAGTTAAAAATAATGCCTTACATTAATGTAGTACTAAGTTTGAAACCAAACATTCTGGCCAGATATTTTGGTTCTCAGTTTTTAATTTTTAGTGTTTATATTTAACTTTTATATTTCAATAATATAGTCTTGAAAAATTACAAAATGTTGACTAGTCTAGGCTCATGATTAAATAGTTTTAATCTTCTATCCTCCCTCCCAAAAAAAATGTCCTAACAACCATTCTCCACTGCATGAAAACAGCCAGTAGAATTCTGCTAAGATATATTAACTGATGTGGCATTTAATTTCTGTGTTCAAAAAGAGACCACCTCTAAATCCCAGGTGTTGTATTTTGTTCATTTTCCAAGAGGTTCACTTTTAAATCAAGACCAAGTGTAGAAAGTTTCTGCCCACAAGGAACAAAAAAGTTATGAGGAATTCAAGACAGAAGCCAAGTGAACTTGTATACAACTATAGCAATTACCCATAAACATAGAAAACCTTAACCTGAAACCACTTAGATGTGAAGCTAAAAAATTTTAGGTAAATAGAGCCACATTTTTGTATTTGGATGGGAGATGTTAAAAAAATCATGCATAAAATGTTGCTGTACAGTCAATAACTATGACTTTCATTTGCCTCAATATTGAAATACTACTGCCATTTTGGCTGGGCAATGTACTTCTTATATGAGAAACTGGTCACAGACATTTATGGTCATTTAATACTCAGTCGTATTTTAAGAGAAGAGATGGTTGGCTAGCATGTCCTGGACTAATTCCTATAAAGTAAGTTATATTCCTATAAAAAACAAAATGGTAATTTTAATTAAGAATTTATTTTTCACTTCCCTCTTAAGAAAAAACTCCACAACCTTGTGTGTTACTGAGAGTGTGGTTCAAGTACTCCCCCTCCAGAGGCATGTTAATAATCCTTAGTTATCTGTACATTTTGGTCATTAATAGGACAAATATTTAACACACTAATATAGCCAAAATTAAATTTGCTGTGCATCTGTGGCTTTCCACAGTGTTTATTTCTGTAACCTGCATTAGAAAAGAGCATACATCTACCAAAGAATACAAGTTTAGAAACATTTGGTTCCTTTTCCTCTAGCTCACCTTTGTTTCCTCTCCTACTTGTTTCTTTCTTCATTGGTTCTATTCAGTTTCTTGATTTGATATTTTTGTCCCTAGTTCTTATCTATTTCAAAGTCTAGTTAAAATTTTATTAACTCTATGCCCCTGATCTGCACTACAAACTTATGTTGCTCACTCAAGGGCACAAAAAATCCACACCCGTGTGAGTGAAACAGTTTTATCAACTTAACTCCTAATGTACACAGCACCATGTCAATGGGAGGTCTTCTCTCATTCCTTTCTTCTTGGGACTGTGGACTACCTACCTTGAGAGGAAATGCTTTCCCTTCTGTATAGGCAGCTTTTTCCACTTTTCACTACAGCCATGCAGTGCTGTTGTGCCACTGTAAATGTGCATAAGCCTTAAGGTTTAATGAGATCAATTTGAATACTTTAGAAAAGTACAAAGATGTGACTTATTATAGTTGATTTTAATGGGAATAGGTATAATCCATGCATATCAAATGAATAATGGCTGACGTTAATCTCCAAGTTTTAAAAGTGTCTGTATTGTTTCCATCCAAGACTAGGTTTGGAGGCGTATGTGCTGTTTAATTTTTTAAAGATATTGTAGCTCTTTCCAATCTCTCATTTCTCACTATGTATTACTTTCTTTTCTGTACTTTAGTGTTTTTCTTTTCTGTACTTTAGTGTTTTTTAATTTCTCTTTAGCAATAAATCTGGAACTCAGCCTCACCAATACTGAAAGCAGCTGGACATGCCAACTTGTACGCGTCTGCCACTGCTTCTGTCTCACAACAGGGGGAGTATGGAATCTCACAAGCTTGCAGACCCTTCAGCTGACACTCTGTCAATGACATCTCAGTCAACTGTCAAAAATCTGATGGGAAGAATACTGCCAAGCACCCTCTGTATGTTATTTTGTATGCAATGATGCAAACAACCATAGGATCAGCCCCAAAATAACTTCTCTCCTCTAAATATTTAGTGTCTTGAGGAGATTAAGTTATATTAATGAATGTCAGAGAGAGAGATTTCCATTCATCTGTTGGAATGTAAGAGGGCACAGTGCGCTTGGCATTGAAAATAAAAGCAATATTTAAATGTATATATGGGAGAAAAAAGGAGGAACACACTGGAAATTCCCTCAAAGGGACAACTAGATTTTTAATGGAAGTTTGCCCCGTGTCCACTCACTTTCTACACATTCCATTTTTAGTAACATGCCCCAATTATTCTCCCCCTTTTTGATACACGAATTTCTGTTGAGGATAACCATGTCTAGTAACTCCACTTTTCAAGGTTCCCACCTGCAGTTCTAAACCACGTTCATCGTGATTCCCAAATAAAGTTATGTGGCTGTATTCTCATTGGTAGCCACACCATTAATTGATCATTCATAATGGACGGGTGCAGATCATTCTAAAACATTCAGAGCTTTATCCTCTCCAGTGGTTCCAGTCATACCTACATGATGCAAGAGTGAATGATATAAAATGATGAATACTGAGAGGCCCCTATCCTCCATTTTCAGTCATATGTCTTGATGAGATTTCTAAACAATCTAGAGTATTCTCAATATATAACTGATAAACAAGTTTTTTCCCCCTCAGGCCTGAGAAGATGCCCAATGGCAGAGTCAGCCTGAGGCACTGAGTTGCCTCAGCCACAACTCTAGGCAAACTCAAGTCTTGCCACTGGGAAGTTAGAAAAAGTTTGCTCCTCAGTGTCCTTTCTTATTGAGGGCACTCATTAAAAAGCCACAAACCAGGCTAATATGCATCTTAACATAATGTCTCTTGCACAGAGCACCACTTATGAAGAAAGGAACAGAAGCTAGACCAAGAGCCTACTGTAATTTTTATAATCTTTTAAAGTTGCTCACTTACTTTGGTGTGGCAAGCCCAGTACAAATTTTATTTCATGTGAAATCAGCTGCTATTTTCCAATGTATATTTATACCCTAACAGCAGCACATGTTCCCTGAGTGCTATTTAATTGCAATTCCCTTTCAACAGGATTTCATCACCTGTAAGACATCCAAAACACAGCATGTCATTCACCAGTTTGTCCAGAATTGAGTATTTGTCCACCACTGTATAGTATATTATTTACACTGGGTAGGATAGACTAACCTAGAAATACCCATAGCACCTAGAACTCAGATGGCAGCAACAAGGCAGGAAACCAGAAAAGCAGATCTATCACTGAAGTGGATACAGCAAATATTTTATGTACTTACTTTTTGGAATCCCAGTACTTTGTTTATTCGCTCAATTCCAGATGGTGCCTATGCCAAAAAGAATAGCTGTCATAGGGCTCCCAGACTACTAAACACCAGTGCTTTTTTTTTTTTGTTAAAAAAAAAAAAAAGGGCCAGTACTAGGATCGCCAGATGGTTCCAAAAAAAAAATTCCGGACAAAAATATGTCAAGACCAAAAAAAAAAAAAAAGAAAAGTGCACCAGGGATGCGGTCATGGCCCAAGCAGGCTTCCATCAGGTGCCAAGCCAGGCCCGGGAAAAGCAGAAAAACTTCCTTAATTAGTGCTCCCCAAAAAAGGTGGGTACCATCACAAAAAAAAGCACTGCTAAACACAAATCTAAATCTGCACTCAAAACAACAAGCAGTCCTATGGGACCTTAGAGACTAACAAATGTATATACTATGAGTTTGTGGGAAAAACCCACTTCTTCAGATGAGCTTAAGTGAACAACAACAAAAAAAGATCTTGCACTGACTAC